CAGTATTGGGGGCCTCAGGATAACAATGAGGGGTTCTGTAGCTCATGCTCTAGTGCAGTGGGTTACCCTGAGGAACCCCCACCCCCAAAAAAGGTTATCTGACACTCTAAGGGTACATTATTTTATTTTATTTTTTACATATATTTTATTGATTTTATACAGAGAGGAAGGGAGAGAGATAGAGAGTCAGAAACATCGATGAGAATCATCGATCAGCTGCCTCTTGCACACCCCCTACTGGGGATATGCCTGCAACCAGGGTACATGTCCTTGACCGGAATCGAACCCGGGACCTTTCAGTCCCCAAGCCGACGCTCTGTCCATTGAGCCAAACCGGTCCTGGCAGGGTACATTATTTTAGATGCAAAAAGACAATAGACAGGTTTACTTAAGGTAAAGACTGACTTTTGTCATTGAAGCTACAAGCCTAGGATGTGGCTACCCATCATGATGCACTTTTAGTTTCCAAGTTTTATGTTGAAACCATCCTATGTAGTCACTTTCCATCTCTGAGCCGCCAGGTTTAGTATGAAGTCCCCTTTTTAGGGTCCTTGAGATTACACTGGGCTCACCAGGATAATCCAAAATAATCTCCACATTTTAGTTAGCTGGTCGGCAATTTTAATTCTATCTGCAAGTTTAATTCCCCTTTGCCATGCAATTTGACACATGCACAAATTCCCAGGAGTGGGACGTGGGCATCTCTCGGGGTCATTGTTTAGGTCTCCACACTGGCCCTAGGTCACGGCCCTCTAGCTGAGTGCTGAGTGTTATGGACTGAAAAATTCCCAAGGCCAGCGCAGCAGCTGTGCACCACAAATTCCACAAGGCCAGCACGGCAGCCGCTGCACAGCTCCTTAAAACAAGCTCATTAAAAGCAGGATGTGCTCACCACTATCTGATACAAGAGGGGTGAGGCCAGGTGCGGCAGGAGGAAGGGAGAACTGACATGTTACATGTAAAATAATTAGGAATTGCTGATGGCTAAAGGCAGATATCCGCTTCTGTACACGCAGTATGCTTGCTCGTTAAGGATGAGAAGCCTATATATAAGTAAAAGGCTTCTAGAGCTCGGGGCTGCAGACCGGGCGCAGGAAATAAACGCGCTTTCCTAAACATTTTTTATCTGTGTCCGAGTGAGGTGTCTCTCCTGGGTTACACCGAGCCCCCGCCCTTTATCTACTCGGCGGGCCCCTTAACCCCGAGACAAACTGAGGTTACTGGGGGGCCCTTTCCTGCTCTAGAGCCGCAGGAAACCAGGGCTAAAGCGCGCCCTCAGAGGCCGCCTCCCCCGAGACCAGCGCCCCCGCCGGCGGGAAGCCCGGGGCGCAGCGGGCGCCGCCCGGAAGCGCCGGTCGCGGGGGCGGAGGAGCCGCCGCGGCGGGAGGAGCGGTGAGTCCGGGCCCGCGGCCTCGGGGGCGCCGCGGCGGGTGGCGCCCGCGTGGGGTCTGGGGCCCGGCGCGCCCGCTCGAGGTGGGGGCGAGCGGGGTTCGCACTCCGGCCGCAGCTCCCACCCCGGGCGCCGTGGGGGCGGCCCCAGCGCGGGGCCCGGGGGCGCGGGGCCCGGGGAACTGAATGTCTGGTCTCCCTGGTGCGGTCACCCCGCGCACCTTCTCAGCTCCTGTGTCTCCCCGGTGATCCCACTCTGGCATTTCCACTCAGATGTGCTTAGTGATTTTTGCTTACCTGCCTTGCTCTCTGTGCCTCATAATTCCGTGTGTTGTGACTTAAAAATAAATAAAGCACTACCAGTAAGCTTCCTGAAAATGAAGTAAACTCAGTGTTTTTTTTCTGTAATGAAAAACAAAAACAAAAACAAAGGATCACCTTTCTAAGGTTTCAGTGATAACAATAGCTGCCCTTTATTTGGGGCCTCCTATGTACCAAAGTATTAGGAATTTTCTGTCCATTCTCTCTTATGTATTAAGCAATACAACTTAGCTGCTTCATCTTGGAAGTACAGAAGTGGGGGAGGGGGGGAGGGAGACTGAGTTCAAAGACTGTTTACTATCTTTTATTACCTCCAAATCAACGTGCCTTTCCCCATCCCTGTCACATTTCCAGCAGAAGAGTCACAACCATTGTGACTTTCCTCTTTTCAAGGGAATAATATCATCATTTACCCAGTTTATACCAGGAAATTGGGAGTCTACCTTGTCCCCTTCTCCCTAGTTATCCATAAATCTATCACCAAAAATACTTTTTTTAAATATTTTTTTTTTTTTTTTGATTTTTTACAGAGAGGAAGGGAGAGAGGCAGAGTTAGAAACATCAATCATCTGCCTCCTGCAAACTCCCCACTGGGTATGTGCCCGCAACCTAGGTACATGCCCTTGACTGGAATTGAACCTGGGACCCTTGAGTCCGCAGGTCGATGCTCTATCCACTGAGCCAAACCGTTCAGGGCTATCACCAAAAATCTTGTCAATTCTTTCTATACATTTGCTTCCCATTTTCTTTATATCTGTTGCCACCATCCTATTCCATTCCATCATTTCCCTTCCTTTTCTATTGGAGTCTCCACTGTGGGCCTCCTGTCCCTCCCCTGTCTAGTCTTCACTCTGCAGCCAGAGCAAGTGATTGTATTAACCTGTTAACCGGGGAGTTCCCTTTTTAATTACATAACGTACAATGGGTGCACACTCTTTCACTAGCACATGTCAGTACGTCACGCCCAGTGGATGTAATTTTATATTATTATTTTTTATTTATACTTAATTAAAATAAATGAAATATATATTTTTTGTTTATTTATATATAAAGCACAAAGGAAAATACAAAATTACAAACAAATAGAAAAGAATACCTACAAAAAAATGGAAACATCGAATTAAAAAATTATAAATTTTACAAACAATTATAAAGATTACAAAAAATATATATTTTTATTTCTGTACACAATAAAAATATAAAAAAGTTAATTACAGAACAATAAACAAAAACACACAAATAAAATAGAAATATTGAGTTTAAAAAATTGAAATATAGATGTAAAAATTCAAAACTCAACTTCCATGTGATATATTTTAAAACAATGTTGATACATAGTGCTACCTTACAATCCGGACACCAGTATGTAGATTCTTTCCTAACACCTTTTTTGTAGCAAATGCGGCATTTCCTGGGTTTAGTTTTTCCTGTATCGATTTTCATTTGTTCTGGAAAATGCCTTTCAACTAAGCGTGATGGTTTAGATGTAGAGCTGCTTGTTGATGTCTTTAGGTGGGTTTTCACTATGTTGTTATCTACCAATTTCTCTACACACTCTATCAAAAAGTGTCATCGATCCAAATGACCTTTATCTTTTTTGTATATAATATATGCATTGAAGCAGCACATCAATTAATCATAGAAATTTTTTTTTATAAAATTTTTTTACCCTATTACGGGCAGCCGTGTAGGCCACCATAACTCCATCTCCCAAATCTACGCTGCCCATATTCTTGTTATAATCCAGGACAACATTCGGTTTTTCTTGCCTTCTTCCTCTCTTTTCAATCATTGTCTTTTCGTCATGAATAGAACTGAGCATCACTACATCTTTTTTATCCTTCCATTTTAAAACCATAAGTTTGTCTTTGATTCTTACATATGTTCATTTTTCTGTAATTTTTTTGTTTTTATTTCACTGGGGATTCCGACTCTGTTTGTCCTCATTGTTCCAACAATGTCTGTATTGTTTGACACAAGAGTTCAGCCAAATGAATTGACGTATAGAAATTATCTAAGTAAATCCTATATCCTTTATTCAGTAAGTCCTGTGTTAACTCCAAAACAATTCTTGTTGATTGTTTTTCTTGTGGGTAGTTCGAACCATAATTTGTGTCCTTGCCTGTGTATAAAATTATATTTTGTACATATCCAGATTGGCTTTCACTCAAAATAAACAACTTCATTCCAAATCTAGCTCTTTTTGTAGATATATATTGTTCCCAAGATAAATTCCCTTTTCATAATAAAAGAGATTCATCTACGCATATTTCTCGTTCACATACATAAAAACTTTTAAACCTTTCTGACAAATTAATTGATGATTGGATCAATTTTATATGTTTTTTTATTATATAAAGGTTGGAGATTTAAAAAATATAAGTAAATGACATGTAATATGAAAATAGGTAGGTAAGTGTAAGTACTTACCTGTCACTGCTCACCCAGAACGTGTCCACCACTCTCAATAGCGAAATTATACTGATTCCTTCCGTGTCTTAAATTCATGTGGAGACATGTATGGATGACTAATACCTTTGTTGTTCGGAAATATACGTCCCGCCCCGTTTCAGGGCGCAACGTATATTTCAAGGACGTATTCATACTTCCTACCCGTACACGATATTGTTTACGTTTGACGTATTTATACGTCCCGCTCAGTTAACAGGTTAAAATGCAGCTATGATTATATTGCTGTCTTGATTAAAACCCTTCAGAGACAACCTATTAATTACCCCAAGGATGAAATCCAGCAACCTGAGCTTGGCTTACAATGGCCTTCCCACAGGCCCTATCTGCTTTACCAGCCTGTTACAGTCCTCTTTCAATTCTTTGAACGGAACACAACCTCTTTTGCTTTTATATATGTGATTCCTTCCATCACTCTTTTCCCCCTCTTCGCCTAGCCAGCTCCCATTCATCCTTCAGCTTAAATATCATTTTTCTAACTCCCCTGGATTTTTCTGCTGGATGCCAGAGTAGCTCTATCTGTAAGACTCAGCACCCTACATTTGTTGAGAGCTGTGGTTCCATCTGCATTGGGAGACTGAGGGCAGGAATGATGAGAGATTTGTGCAGGATTATAAAAGCTGGCACAGATGCTCAGTATCAAACTGTTGAAAGAATAAAGGATTAAGTTGCTATTGTCCTGTCATGTGATTAGAACTACTTTGAATTAATTCTGCCTTTTGATAATAACTGTAATTCTCAGATGTTTCTGTTTTTGCATATAGTTTGGGGGCATCCGTGGAGACGTGGGCATGGAGCCAGGCTGCGTCGGGGAGCCCAGCATGGATGGCTACTCGGTCCTGAGAGTGATCGGGGAGGGCTCCTTCGGCAGAGCCCTTTTGGTTCGGCAGGAGAGCAGTAATCGGATGTTTGCCATGAAGGAAATAAGGCTTTCCAAGGTCACTGCTTAAAATATTAGCTCATGTTGAAAGTGTACAAACTATTTGTATAAGGGAACAGTTTCTGGAGATGTCACATGGAGTTGCTACTCAGTGCATCAGATGTTATGGGTTTCTTCACTCATTGCTGTACAAGGTCTTGATATACTTTATATGGTTCATAGGATATTAACAAAAGGGATAAAATAGTCAAAAGTGACAATTGCTGTTTATCTCAATGAGAATAATTTGTAATTATTTCTAATTTTGTATACCTAAGTGTGTAAGGAGTCTTTGCCAATAACTACTCGGGTGCAATATTGATGAAAAAGGAACATAAAAATACAATGAAGAGCAAAAATCTAAAATGCTAACTGTTGGTAACAGGGAACCTATTCTGTAGGTCAGTTTATAGCTTTTATTTCCCTGTGTGATGATGAATGTGATATCGTCTGGTATCACTGTTTATCACTATGCATCATCGTTGCACATGAAAGAATCTATGCCATGGAGCCTACTTAATTCTGGTTTGATCAATTTTTGAAAAGAAATTTTAAAAATAAAGTCACAAAGTGCTATTACCCCCTCACTGCATTCTTGACCTTGTTTAGTGATTCTCAAACTTGAATAGGCATGGAATCACCTGGAGGGTTTGTTAAAATGCCAGTTGCTAGGCTTCACCCTCCTCCTCTTGTCCCTAGTTTTTGCTTGAGGAGGTCTGGTTGGGCCAGTGAATTTTAATTTTTAACAAATTACCATTGGTGCTGACGTTGCTGGTGTGAGGATCCTTGTTTCTTATTGTAAGGTAAGTCATCCTCATGGAGTAAGTTAGGGGATAAACAGTTTTGGAAACTTTCTTTGCATGTGCTGTAGTAATCCACCAGTGACTTCCTTTTTATCTGGGCCAGTGGACAAAGTAATGTGGACAGTTAAGACATGAAGTCTCTAATTTTGCTTTAAGGATATACTATTATTGTTGATGGCACTGCACTGGCTCTCAAAATCAGGTTATAGTTAGGCTGATGTTAAAGCTAGTTTACGTTCCATACTTGTAAGGATATATCAGCTTAAGCATGCAAAATATAACCATAGTTGGAAAATCATGTTATCTCTTAGAGTTTTATAAACTTCACATGGGTGAAAGTATAGTGCTATAAAACTGTGTTTGGCATTGAAGTGTCATATGAACTCGTTATTATTGTGAAGCTGTCTACTCTCAAATGAAGTATTACATTTACACTTATTTAAAATATTCTTCTAGTCTTTCTCTGATACACAGAATTCCAGGAAGGAAGCTGTTCTGTTAGCCAAAATGAAACACCCCAATATTGTTGCCTTTACAGAGTCATTTGAAGGTAAAGATGAATCCCCCAGATACGTGCATGTCTGAATTTGATTTATGTCTACCACACTTTCATAAAGAGTCTTCTATTTGCTTTAGCTGAAGGGCATCTCTATATTGTGATGGAATATTGCGATGGAGGGGACCTAATGCAGAAGATTAAACATCAGAAAGGAAAGTTGTTTCCTGAAGATATGGTAAGAAATTGACTTGTATAGTTTGCCTCAAGATTTAGAAGCAACTTTTCTCATAAAATCGGTGTGAGTTAAAATGACAGCATTGGAACCTGTGACTATTTAACACAAGTTAGAAAGATCCTTTCTGTGTCTGTGCTTACTATGGTCAGGATGTGGCTGCCTGGGATGCTTTTAGGAAGTAAAATAGATATAAGCTTATAAAATATCAAGGAATAAAACTTACATGTTTAGAATATTTTCAAAATTGTATTATCATATTTTGTAGATATTTATATTTTCTATTTTTTGTTGTATTTAAATTTTAAAGGTGGATGGATTTATTTTTTATTTCTAGATCATGAAAAAAGTGAAGTCCACATTTCTGTTTCTTGCGAGTACCTATTCTGAATCTTTTTCCTTCTAAAGTTTAGCATATTTCCTTAAGTCTAGTACTACTGCCTTTAATATGTGTGTGTATATATATATATATATATATATATATATATATATTATTGATTTTTTAAAAAATATATTTTATTGATTTTTTACAGAGAGGAAGGAAGAGGGAAAGAGAGTTAGAAACATCGATGAGAGAGAAACATTGACCAGCTGCCTCTTGCACACCCCCTACCGGGGATGTGCCCACAACCAATGTACATACTCTTGACTGGAATCTAACCTGGGACCTTTCAGTCCGCAGATCGACGCTCTACCACTGAGCCAAACTGGTTTCGGCTATTTTATTCACTTTTTTTTTTACAGAGAGTAAGGAAGGGAGAGAGAGAGTTAGAAACATTGATGAGAGGGAAACATAGATCAGCTATGTAGGTATTGCCTCCTACAATACCTCCTACTGGAGATGTGCCCACAACCAAGATACATGCCTTTGACCACAATTGAACCTGGGACTCTTCAGTCCGCAGGCCGACGCTCTATCCACTGAGCCAAACCTGTTAGGGCAGTACTATTGCCTTTATTTATTTTTTATTTTTAATTTTTTTTCTTGGGTTTTTATATTATTTTAATTAATTTATTTATTTTTTGTATTAAATTATTATTTGTGTACATATACCAGTACTACTGCCTTTATAATGGAAAATTGCATACTAATATTATTTGAATGAGTTGACTAAGGAAACTAAATAAACATCTTTAATAGGATTTGGGTATAATATGTTATAAAACTGTTGGTAAAAGAATTTTTATTTAAAAGTTGTTTATGGTTTTCATAAAAGGAAGTCAATTTTGCCTTCAAATGGATGAATCTCCATAGCAAAAAGAAAAAAATTAGTTTGACATTTGATTATAGGCATCTGGAAATTCTGGCTGCTATTGACTAGAAGTTTATAAGCAGAATACTGTCCTCAAGGGATTGTTGATGATATAATTAAATCCTTTAATATTAATATAAAATATTATGAAAAAGAAATGAAAATCTGATTGTAATGATTACACTATAAAGTTGTACCATATTCATTTGTAAGTGGTGTATGTGTATTTAAGAAATACTTTTAGCCCTGCCGGCATGTCTCAGTGGTTGAGCATTGATTTATGAACCAGGAAATCATGGTTCGATTCCTGGTCAGGGTATATATCCAGGTTACTGGCTCAGTCTCCTGTGTGGGGTATGCAGGTGGCAGCCAATCAATGATTCTCTCTCATCATTGATGTTTCTGTCTCTTTCTCCTTCTCCCTTCCTCTCTGAAATCAATGAAAAATATATTTAAAAAATACTTTTATTTGCTTGAATACCAGAAAAATACAGTGGGAGTTCTATTAAGATAAATTGCTATTTGTATCACACATAAAATGATGAAACATGAGTTCACAGCTTTTCTGACTTTTTCCAGAAAACACTGAATTTTAATCAAACTATGTCATTTTTAGGAGTTCTATGTTTACATTATGTAACACTAAGGGCTAGAGACCATTTGGATTTCTGGGTTAATATGAACCAGTTTTTGCATTCTTGCAGATTTGTGTGCTTTTGTCTTACAGATACTTAATTGGTTTACACAGATGTGCCTTGGAGTAAATCACATTCACAAGAAACATGTATTACACAGAGATATCAAATCCAAGGTAAGTGGAATAAATTTTTGAGACAAACAAAACAAAATCCAAAACTATTTCATTTAATCCTCTTTCTGTGTTATTCTATTTCCTTTTGGGACATTTATATTTAGTTTAGAAATCTTTGTCAACCTAGTATTCATACTAGCCAAATAAGGTACTACCTGAGAAAAAGTTACTAAATCTCTTTAGTAGTATCTATCTATATCTATATCTATATCTATATCTATATCTATATCTATATCTATATCTATATCTATATCTATATCTATATCTATATCTATATCTATATCTATATCTAAAAGCTTAAGTGACTGAACAACCGGTCGAACGGTCTCTATGACATGCACTGACCACCAGGGGGCAGATGCTTAATGCAGGAGCTGCCCTCTGGTGGTCAGTACGCTCCCACCGCCAACCTCATGCGGCCTGGCCAACCTTCTGTGGCCCCGATTGGGGTGGCCAACCTCCCATGGCCCAATCAGCCCCAATCACTGGCCAGGCTGAGGTTCTCACTCATGCATGAATTTGTGCACCAGGCCTCTAGTATGTTAATAAGTTTTTTAAAATATAATTGATTTTTCACAGAGAGGAAGGGAGAGGGATAGAGAGCTAGAAACATTGACCACTTGCCTCCTGCACAAACCCTACTGGGGATGTGCCTTCAACCAATGTACATGCCCTTGACCGGAATCGAACCTGGGACCCTTCAGTCCACAAACCAATGCTCTGTCCACTGAGCCAAACCAGTTTTGGCATTAAGCTCTCTTGGTGACTGCTTTTTAAAGATGAAAGATGACTGAGATCTGGTTGTGCCACATGGAGTTACGCTGACACAGGTTCCCAGCAGGGTTGATCAGGTCTGCTGAGACAACTTGGAGCATGGCTATTAGATTTCTAAGCAGTTATCCTAAATTCCCAAGCCTGGGCAGGGGTTGGGGATGGGGGGCATGGGTAGCAGTCAAGAGGCTATCTGCTCTTTGAGTTCCCTTTGGGGACTCAGCTGTCAGCATTTCTGTCCTTAATCTCCATGGGGAGTAGGCTTTGAAAGACACCTTCTCTGGAGACCTCTATGATGGAAGACATAATCTGAGCTCTTCTTTTTTAACGCAGAACATCTTCCTCACCCAAAATGGACAAGTGAAACTGGGAGATTTTGGATCTGCCCATCTTCTCTCCAAGTGTGTATATCTCTTCTATAATAGTGAGAGCAATCAAAACATTCAGTATTCAGGAATACTCTGTACTTACTCTTTGCCTTTCCATGTTTTTAGTCCCATGGCATTTGCTTGTACGTATGTGGGAACACCTTATTATGTGCCCCCGGAAATTTGGGAAAACATGCCTTATAACAATAAAAGGTAGGTGGTGTACTTATTTGGTGCAAAGGTGATTGTTTGGTGACAGGCATTATAGTCTACAAATGAAGATTGTTTTTTAGAAAATATACCTGAAACAAATCTGAATTCCTAGGCTTCTAGAAAAAAATCATAGTTTCCTAACTACTATAATCAGAGTTGAGAGGAACTGAATTTAATGCTGAAAGAGAGACAGTGAATTATTTCACTGATTCTTAAACTTCACTGTTCACCCTTCTAAAATTTGCAAAGTGCAAGTTGCAATCATATCTGTTAAATGAGAATGTCTGGGGTGGGAAGCAGGCCTCAGTAATTTTTCCAGGATCACCTAATGATTCCAATGTGCAGCAAAATTTAGGGACCACTGGATTATGTCATTGAGTTAACATTTACAAGACTAGGTAATAAGCACTTGACTGATAGGTTAATTGATTATAAGAAGATAGAATGAGGACCTTATGATTTAAAACCTAAAACTGCCCATTGAATCAGTGGGTATCTCTGCTATGCCCACAGACATCAGAGTGAGTATGCAAATTAACCCAACAAAGAAGGTGGGTTAATGTGCATGTGCAGGCACGCAGTGGCCAGGAGGAGCAGGATGCCTGCTATGAGGCAGAGGGAACTACAGGAGCAGTGCCCCGGACAGAAGCGAGGCAGACCAGGAGCAGGGTCGTGCCAGCTCCTGGGTGGCTGGGAGGGAAGCCAGGGGAAGGAAAGCCTATTCTTACATGAATATAATGCACTGGGCCTCTAGTCATCTAAGGATGACAACTAGGAGGTGAGACTGGTGAAGAGGGAAGTATAGGACAAATTATAGACTCTTTTCTGTTTGAAGAGCTCTTCTGAGGGAAAATGACTAGTCCTGCCTCTTGTTTCGGAATGCAGAGCTAACAGGGGGCAGGGGGGGGGGGCGGGGAATTCCCAGCCGATGTGGATGGTGCCCTGGAGCCATTCAGCAGGGCCACAAGCTGTGCCTGAGCTGAACTGCTGCCCAACAGGAGGCAAGATCCAAGGCCTGGATTGTGCATAGATGGTCTGGTTGTAAGCTGTATGGGATGGCTCCTAAAGTCCTCCTTTCAACTAGGATAATGGGAGTCCACAAAGTTCCTCTGTTTGACCGAATACTGCTGAAATGATACCTGAACCACCCTGATTTGGAGAACCTAGAGGTTGTGGAGCAGAGAGATTAATGTGAGCAACTACCTAAGTATGACATAAACATTACCATATATTTCATTTTAATAGCTAGAAATTATTTGCAATATTTGTTTTTATTAAAGGTATTTTTTCGTTTTTTAATATTGGAAAGTACCTGTATTTTTATATGATAACTCATAATCCACTTTGCTTCTCTCTCTTTTTTTTTTTTTCTTTCCCACTTTGCTTCTTTATGTTTCTAGTGACATCTGGTCCTTGGGATGCATTCTGTATGAACTCTGTGCCCTGAAGCATCCAGTAAGTGTGGTGGGCAAAATGGAAAGGTGGCCTCTTGTCATATCTGGCCAAGTCATAAGTTATATGCCTAAGTCCAGGGGGGAGGTTGTTTCCCTAGGATGAATTCATTATAAAAGTTTTCATGTTTCCACTGCTATCATCTTTGCCTTGAGTCACTTTTGTAGCATATACTAATAGAAGTTTCCATTATTTCATTTTTTGTACTTCTGTATCTAGCTCCCCTCCTTCCTTCCTCCTTCTTTCCCTCTCTCCTTTCTTCTTTTACCCCCCTCTCCCTTTCTTCCTCCTTCCCTCCCTCCCTCCCTTTTTTGCTAGTCTTGATTTTTATTGAAGCAAAATATATAACTTTAAATTTACCATTTTAACTATTTTTAATTGTACAATTCAGTGGCGTTAGTTACTTCACAATGTTGTGCAACCGTCACTACTATCTATTTGCAAAACTTTTCTATCCACCCCAAACAGAAACTCTGTACCATTAAACAGTAGCTTCTCATTGCCTCTCACCTAACCCATGCTAACCTCCAATCCACTTTCTGTCTCTATGAATTTGCATATTCTAGATATTACATATAAGTGGAATTATACACAAATTTGTTCTTTTATGTCTAGCTTATTACATATAGAAGGAAGTTTTCAAAGTTCATCCAGCATGTGTCAGGATTTTATTCCTTTTTATGATAGGACTAGAGGCCTGGTGCATGAGATTCATGTACTGGGAGGTGGGGTGTATCCCTCAACCTGGCCTGCGCCCTTTCACAGTACAGGACCCCTTGGGGGATGTCTGACTGCTGGCTTAGGCCTGATCCCCTTGCAGTCTGGGGCTTTCGCAGTCAGGGACCCCTTTCTCCTGACCATCCCCCTACAGTGGAGGCAGGAGAGGCTCTCGCCACTGCTGCCGCTGCCTTCACCAGCTGTAAGCCAGCTTCTGGCTGAGCAGCTATCCCCATGTGGAAGCACACTGACCACCGAGGTGTAGCTCCTGTGTTGAGCATCTGCCCTAGTGTGTATCATGGTGACCAGTTGTTCTGCTGTTCCGTCGATTTGCATATTAGGCTCTTATTATCCTATCTAATAAAAAGGAAGCATGCAAATTGACCATACCTCCACTACACCCACCAGCCAATCAGAAGCGAGTACGCAAATTAATCCAACAAATATTGCAGCGGCCACAGAGCTGGAGCCAGCTGGAGGCTTGGGTTTCCCCGGCGATGAGGAAGCCAAGCTTCCCACCCTGGCCTGCCCTGGCCTCCTCTTAAGGCTACAAAGTTTCAATTATAGAAAATAAATCCTTGGCCTTTGCTTGGGTTGCTGGAGGGCATGGCTGGCCTGCATTCCACCACAGACCTCTCATCCAGGCCGCCCCACACCCCAAAGGAACCCCACCCTGATCCAGGACACCCTTCAGGGCAAACTAGCCAACCCCCACCTGTGCACCAGGTCTCTATCCTATCTAATAAAAGACTAATAGGGAAATTTACCATCACTCCAACACACAATATAGCTGCCCCCATGTGGACACAAGATGGCCACCACAGATGGCCAGCAGGGGAAGGCTGTTGTGGGCGATCAGGCCAGGAGGGGAGAACAGTTGGGAGGGATTAGGCCTGCAAGGGACGGCAGTTAGGGGCAATCAGGCTGGCAGGGGAGTGGTTAGGGGGTGATCAGGCTGGCAGGCAGAAGCGGTTAGGGGCAATCAGGAAGGCGGGCAGGCGAGCAGTTGAGAGCCAGCAGTCCTGGATTGTGAGAGGGATGTCCAACTGCCTGTTTAGATCCCTACCAGGATCAGGCCTAAACGGGCAGTCAGACTTCCCTCCAGGGGTCCCAGATTGGAGAGGGTGCAGGCTGAGCTGAGGGAAATACTCCTTCATGCACAAATTTTGTGAACCAGGCCTCTAGTATAGGATAATATTCCATTATATGTTTATATCATATTTTATTCATTCATTTATTGATGTACATTTGGGTTCTTTCCACCTTTTGGCTGTTGTGAGTACTGCTGCTATGAACATGGATATACAGCTATGTATTAGAATCCCTATTTCCAATTGTGTTAGGAAAATAGCTAAGAGTAGAATTGCTGAGTCATATGGAAATTGTAAGTTTATCTTTTTAAGGAACTGCCAAACTGTTTTCCACAGTGGTAGCGCCATTTTTATACTTACCTTTTTGCCCTTAGATTTCACTTATTATGTGAGTTTCTTCTCTAAATGAATTATTATGAGAAAATAGACTGTTACATTATACTAGAGGCCTGATGCACAAAATTCATGGGAAGGGCTCAGCCCCTGCTCCTGCCGTGGCTGCCTTGGCTCCGCTGTGGTGGCTGCCTCCCCTGCCTCCTCTGCCCGCTATGGTGGCCACCTTGGCCCTCGCAGTCCTGACTTCATCCGGAAGGTTGTCTGGAAGGACGTCTGGTCTAATTAGCATGTTATCCTTTTATTATTATAGACTGGAGGCCTGGTGCACAGATTCGTGCACCAGTGGGGTCCTCGCTGTGGCCTGCGGAGATTGGGCTGAAACTGGCAGTCTGACATACCCTGAGGGATGCAGTAGTGTGTGAAGTGGCAGGCAGCTGGGGTGGAGCCCGAGCCTGGGCCAGGTGCCGCACTGCTCCTGCTCACCCTGGCCCCAGTCCACTGCCATTTGGAAGGCTCGCTGCTGCTCCGGTTTGGTCTCCGTGTACCCGCCTAGGGCAATACTGGTGGGCCCATGACCAAGAAGTGGCCGTTGGCTCGTGCCCAGTCAGTCTTAATGCCAGTCCCGATCCTGGTCCCAGTGCAGATGGGGGAGGGTGTGCAGAGGAAGTGTCTGTGGGAGAGGCTCACGCTGCCACAGCTGCGCTCGCCAGCTGTGAGCCCGGCGTCTGGCACCCATTGGTCAGCTAAGCGACTCTCTTGCTGTGGGAGTGCACTGACCACCAGGGGGCAGCTCCTGAATTGAGTGCCTGCCCCCCGGTGGTCAGTGCACATCATAGCTACCAGTTGAATGGTGGGACAGACACTTAGCATATTAAGTGTTTATATATCTATCTATATATATATAGATATAGATATTTTTCTTTCTTTCTTTTTTTTACATTTTTAAAAATTAAATTATTATCTGTGTACATATTTTAACATTGCCCCCTCCCTCCCATACATACCCTCCCTCCCCAGAATTTTGTGTCCATTGGTTGTACTTATAAGCATGTATACAAGTCCTTTGGTTGATCTCTTATCTCCCCCAGATCTCCCTACCTTCCCTGCTGTAATTTGACAGTCTGCTTGTTGCTTTACTGTCTCTAAGATATAGGTATTTTTTTTTGATATTTTAAGAAATAATTTAACAAAAAAGATGTTAAATAACTTGCCCTGCTGGCTCAGCAGTTATTACACAGAACCTATTCCTATTGGGTTTTAGATTTGCAAGGAAATAAATTCTGTGCTTTGGGCACAGATTAGAAGTTAGTTCTAGTAAGCATTTTCAGAGATGTGGTTATAAGTAATCAAGTACCATGGCTGGCATTGATGGTAAGACTTTCTGTAGATGGGGAAATCCTTTGTTATTTACTATTTGAGTGTATTACTTTCTCCTGAAATGCCATAAGATTTTGAAGAGTATCATAAGAGCACCTTCAGGAAGAAAAATGACCAGGCAGCAGATAAATTTATAAAATTAAAATAATTCATATGAATTTACTTCAGCTGGTGTTTTCTTATTTGCATTCTCCTTCCATGCATCTGCTTTTACAGTTCTATTTTATTTTTTAGTTTCAGGCAAATAGTTGGAAAAGTCTTATCCTGAAAGTATGTCAGGGGGCTGTGAGCCCACTGCCATCTCATTATTCCTATGAGCTTCAGCATCTAATCAAGCAGATGTTTAAAAGGAATCCTTCCCATCGCCCCTCAGCTACCACGCTTCTCTCTAGAGGCGTTTTAGCTCGGCTTATCCGGAAGTGTTTAACCCCACAGGTATGCAATGTGTTGAGTTGGCTTTTATCATCCTATCTAATAAAAAAAGAAGCATAGTTTTCAAATATTTGTTGTATTTAAATATAAATACGTGATTGTAAAATCTCAAATGTAGGTGTGCATAAAAAAACATTAAAAGTTAAAACTTCCTTTCCCTCCTCTTCCCCTTCCATAATGCTAGTACCCAAGGGTAATCGCAGGTATAGTTTTGTATATCCTTTCAGATACTTTTCTTTCTTCATATTTATTTATTTATCTTTAGAGAGGAAAAGAAGGGGAGAAAGAGAGAGAGAAACATTGATTTGTTGTGCTACTTACTTAGGCATTCATTGGTTGCTTCCTGAGTGTGCCCTGCCTGGCGATCAAAGCTAAACCCTTGGCACATCAGGATGACATTCTAACCAACTGAGCTACTGGCTAGGGCTACACTTACATATTTTTCTAGACATATATAAGTGTCTGTTTATCTGTATGTCTAAATTATATATGTTTTTAAACACATTCTTAATTTTCAACGTTTAATATTATTTTGGGGAAGAATGCTGATAATTAAATGATATGACTGTCTAAAGAAAAGGGTATTGTATATTTTTAAATTCTCTGCTTTAAATTTTAGATCATCACAGAATATGGAGAACAAGTATTAGAAGAAACCAAAAAATCTAAGCTTAGTACACCAAGAAAAAAGGGTAAGAATTTTGGAAAGCTTATTTTTTTTTGTCAAGTGTTCTTTCTAAATGTAGTGTAACAAAAAATGAAAAATGAAATCTTCAATTTGTTAGAGATGTTTTTCAGAGATACTCCTCAGATAAAAATTTCTTTGTTAGTTAAGACATAATTCTGTTTTTAAACTTTTTTATTTACTTTGCCAGGGATCCAAAAGCTTAGTTTGGATATTTTAGTGATGTAAAAATTATTTTCTATTTTATCATTGGTATCATACTTAGCCTGGTGTGGTATGGGTAAGGTAGAAAGCTTCAGTGGGATAGCCTAGGAATTTAACTATAAAAATATTATGTTAATCTTACCAGAAATTATATCTCAAAGAATCATCTTGTAAACAAAATTTAAAAAACAAGCATTTACAGCCTGGCCAGTGTAGTTCAGTGGTTGAGTGTCTACCTATGAACCAGGGGGTCACAGTTTAATTCCCAGGTTTGATTCCCAGTCAGTCCCCAGTAGGGGGCATGCAGGAGGCAGCCAATCGATAACTCTCTCGCATCATTGATGTTTCTGTTTCTCTTCCCACTTCCTCGCTGAAATCAATAACAATATATTTTAACAAAAAAAACGACTTGTACAAAAGTTGGAATTGTTTACATGCTAGCTGCACAAAAATTTCAGACATCTATAGTAAATCCTGAGCAGATTTTAAAAGTAATTTATTGTCCCTTTGAAAGTTGTCATCTCTTAATTTTTTCAAAGCCATTTTTTTTTCACTTGTTATTAATGACTCAGATCTTCCTCCTGAAAAAATCCAACAAAGATAATAGATATGACCAGAATAAGAGAGAAGAGTTAAGCATCAGATCATGCTGCAAAATCCTCCACTGTTTGGTGCATTTATCTTAGTGTTAGATACTGTAAAAGAAAGACTTTGGAAACTATACTGTTTTCTTAAAGTTAAATTTTAAATGTTATTTTTATAAGAATATAAACCCTTCTAGTGATATAAATCTTCAGCCTTATAATTCAGGCTTTTTCTCCATTACTTAAGATGTAGCCAGTTACTTTTGCTTCAGCGGTTTCACTTTAAGTACTGTTTTGTAGCTTTCATTCACTTCTCAGGGTTGTAGGAAATTAGTTTTAAAATGCTGGGCTGCATGGCTCAGTGGTTGAATATAGACCTATGAACCAGGAGGTCATGGTTCAGTTCCTGGTCAGGGCACATGCCTGGGTTCTGGGCTTGATCCCCAGTGTGGGGTGTGCAGGAGGCAGCCAGTCAGTGATTCTCTCTCATCACTGATGTTTCTATCTCTATCTTCCTCTCCCTTCCTCTCTGGAATCAATGAAAATATATTTCACCTCCAAAAATTTAGTTAATTAAAAAAATAAAATAAAATGCTGGGCAACAACCACAACAGAAATAGTCTAAGACAAGTTTCAAGATTGGTAAAATGTAGTGTTACAATTCCTAAAAAGAGAACTAAGCCAGCAGAGAGGTACCACCGTGTGGGGGCCATATGTCTCGTGGCATCTCCCATCTATTCTATAGACTAAGACAGTGAAAGCTCTGCGAGGGCAGGGACCATGCCTCTTTTCCTCACTGTTGTATCATCAGAGCCTGTCATTATAATATCAAGCCTTTAAAGTGTTGAATGAATGAGGAACATGGACTCCTGGCCTCTGCCAGAGGAAGATCTGGAAGGAGCCATCCTTACTGAAGGGATCCGTTGCCAGAATGTTCTCTCTGGCTGCTGGTCCTTTGTGAAGGACACCTATTCCACCTGCTACCACAGCTGTGGGCAAAAGCACAGACTCTAGCTAGCTTGGGCAGAAGGTGATAATGACCTTCTGAGCACGCAGAATATCTTACCTCTTCATGATTAAATGGGTTGGCTTAAGTAAATATAAATGTCAACTTTCAGATGTCAACTTTAAAAATAAAACAGCAAAAAGCAGGTGAGATGTATTACTAGATGGCTAAAGCTTGGTAATCACCAATCAGGCTAATGCTTTGGTTGGTTGGCTTTAAAAACTTCATTTGTCTCAGGTTTTATGCATATCACATTAGGATCTAGTAATGTGAGCCTTTATGTGCTTTCTCTTTTTCTTTTTTCTCTTTTAGCAGACTCCAGCAGAATCAATATCGCTTTGGAAAAAGAAGCAAGCACAGTGGTAAGTGCTTTAAAATCAAACTTATGAAACAACTATTTCCTGGATACCTGGTATCATTAGGTACTGTGGAATATTTGGAAGACTGACCTGGTCCCTCCAGTCTAATAATTTGTCATCTTTTGGCATGTGAAGCAGTTGGTAGCTATTGTCCTGTACCCAGCTGAGCCACTTTAGATTACATTTATTTTGTTGTTGTTTTTCATTTTTAATTATTTTTAAAAAATATATATTTTATTAATTTTTTACAGAGAGGAAGGGAGAGGGATAGAGAGTTAGAAACATTGATGAGAGAGAGTCATCGATCAGCTGCCTCTTGCACACCCCCCTACTGGGGATGTGCCTGCAATCAAGGTACATGCCTGTGACTGGAATCAAACCCGGGACCTTCAGTCCACAGGCTGATGCTCTATCCACTGAGCCAAACTGGTTTCGGCTCATTTTTAATTATTGATGACAAATGGTTCCAATATGGATGTGAGAGTTTAAGTCATGAAAATCTTGTTTTAGTCGATGACTTTTGGTTTGTTTTTTATTGTGGCAAAATATATTTATAACATAAAGTTTACTATTTCAGTCACTTTTACAAATACAATTCAATTGCATTAATTACATTCACAAAATTGTGTAACCAGCAGCACTATCTGTTTCCAATACTTTTTTTTATCATTCCAAACAGAAACACTGTGCCTATTAAACAATAATCTCCCATTCCTTCCTTACCCCCATGCCACCCCAGTCCCTGGAACCTCTCTTCTCCTTTCTGTCCCTCTGACATAATTTGCCTATTCTGGATATTTCATGTAAGTGGAATCATACAAGATTTGTTCTTTTATGTCTGGATTCTCTTGCTTTGCATAATATATATATTTTTAAGTAACTGTTGGTGGGTGCCTTTAAAAAAATATATGTTTTTATTGATTTCAGAGAGAGGAAGGGAGAAAGGTAGAAACATCAATGATAAGAGAGAATCATTGATTGGCTGCCTCCTGCATGCCCCTACTGGGGATGGAGCCTGAAACCCACGCCTGTGCCCTGTCCAGAAATTGAACTGTCACTTCCTGATTTATGGGAAGATGCTCAAGTACTGAGCCACACCATATTTTTTTTGGTTCACACATGTTATAGCATGTATCAGAATTTTTCTTTTTTTAATTTAGATCACTATTTTGATATTGACTTTTTTTAAAAAAAAATAAATCTTTATTGTTCATATTATTACAAATGTTCCTCATTATTTTTTCTCCCTCCATTGCTCCCCTCCACCAGGTTCCCACCCCACCCTCTGCCCTTTCTCCACCCCCATTGTCCTCATCCATAGGCGCCCAGTTTATGTTCAGTCTCTTCCTGCACCGCCACTCCCCTTTTCTCTGAGAATAGTCAGTCCACTCCCCTTCCATACCTCTGATTCTATTATATTCACCAGTTAATATTGTTCATCAGATTTTTTAATTCCCTTGGTTTTTAGATTCACTTGTTAATAGTTATGTATTTGTTGTTCATAATTTTTATCTTTATTTTCTTCCTTTTCCTAAAGAACCCCCTTTAGCAATTCATATAATTCTGGTTTGGCGGTATTGAACTCCTTTAGCTTTTTAAATTGTTTTTTTTTTTTTATTAGTGAAGCTCTTTATCTGGCCTTCGATTCTGAGTGATAGCTTTGCTGGGTAGAGTATTTTTGGCTGTAGGTTCTTGCTATTCATCACCTTGAATATTTCTTGCCATTCCCTTCTGGTTTCTGTTGAGAAATCATCTGACAATCGTATGGGTGCTCCTTTATAGGTAACTACCTGCTTTTCTCTTGCTGCTTTAATATTCTCTCTTTGTCTTTTGCTCTTGGAATTTTAATTATGATGTGTCTTGGTGTGGTCCTCTTTGGATTCCTTTTGTTTAGGGTTCTGTGTGCTTCCTGGACTTGTAAGTCTAATTCTTTCACCAGGTGGGGGAAGTTTTCTGTCACTCTTTGTTTCAATATGTTTTCGGTATCTTGCCTCTCTCTTCTTCTGGAACTCCCATAATTCTGATGTTGCTTTGCTTGAAGTTTTCCCAGAGATTTCTTACATTATCTTTAACTTTCTATTCTCTTGTCTTCCTGCTTCTGTGGAGGAGTGTCTTCTGGCTCTTTATGTTCCAAATCTTTGACTTGATTCTTACAATCTTCCATTCTGTTTTTAGGACTCTGTATAATATTTTTTATTTAAGAAAATGTATTCTTTATTTCTAGTTGATCCCTTATTATTTCTTTTTTTTAAAAAAAAATATATTTTATTGACTTTTTACAGAGAGGAAGGGAGAGAGATAGAGAGCTAGAAACGTCAATGAGAGAGAAACATCGACCAGCTGCCTCTTGCACATCCCACACTGGGGATGTGCCCGCAACCAATGTACATGCCCTTGACCAGAATCGAACCTGGGACCTTTCAGTCCACAGACCGACGCTCTACCGCTGAGCCAAACCGGTTTCGGCGATCCCTTATTATTTCTAGTTGATCCCTTTTCATATCCTCATAGGTCTCATTTATTTTATTGGCCTTTTCTAGGAAATTCTTGAAAAACCTTATAAGCATGGTTTTGAACTCTATATCCTGTCGCTTTTTGTCCTCCATTTCTTTCATTTGTGATCTGTTTCCTTGTCTCGGCATTTTTGCAGCTTTCCTGAGTTGGTAGCTTTAAAAGTCTCTGTGTTTAGCTTGGATGGGGTGGGGATTCAGGGTGGAGCCTACAGCCTTGGCTTCCGTCAGCCCCGCCCTATGAGGCTCCTGAGTCTCAGTATTCCTCAGGGTCCTTCAGTACTCGCTGCAAGCCCCTCTGAGAGAAAGGTGCCCTAGAGTTTCACCTGCTACCAAACAGTCTAGGCTCTCCCCCAATGAGCCTGGAACTGAGGTTCAGTTCAGTTGGAAGTGGGGTTCAGAGCAGTCTGGAGCTTTTGTCTCCTTCCCGCTAGGGCAATCCAGCAGCACAGTCAACAATCCGTCCTCTGCAGGCAATGTGCGCGCCTCTGGGACTACCTTTCGCCGCTCCCCTGAGATTTCGCCTTACAGCCCAGGCTCCCTCTGTATGAGCCTGGGTCCCCAGGGTCTGGCCTAGAACTGGGGTTCAGCACTGTTGGGTTTGGGGTTCAGCACAGTCCGGAGCTTTTATCTCCTTCCCGCTAGGGAACGCCAGCCAGGCACTCAGCCTCCCCCTGCTCTCCGGCTCCGTCCTCTCCGTGCACGCTGCGTGTCTCCATACCTTAGGCTTTTACAACTCCTTTGATTTTCCTTCTGATTTTCTCATTCCTTCTAGTTGTAGAATTTCCAGTTAATCGACTTTCCTGTAGTTCTGGGTAATGTCCATTTTGTATTTTAGTTGTATTTTATTGAAATTGTTGTGTGAGGCTGCAGTTTGGTGTTTACCTATGCCGCCATCTTGGTTCCTCCAATATTGTCTTTTTTAAATTAAAAACCTTTTGATACCTCCCTATTATCCCATGAACCAAGTCGACATTTTTCAGCCTGGCATTCAAGGTTCTGTTTGTCTTGTTTAGCCCCAGGCAGCTTTTACACTAAAGCTGCAACGAAGTCATGCCGAGCAACAGCCGATTCACTTCCTAGTATTGTCACAGCCCTCTCAGAAAATGGTGTCCTGCGGATATTTTTCTTTCTTCAGCATTTTAATCTTTTAACTCAAAAAGGAAAAGATGTACTAATAACAAATTATTCTATTCATGGAATGTGCTAGTATGTAAACTTATAAATTTTTTTAATGAACCTTAGATTGTAAATAATAACAACATCCCACCATTATGTTGCTACACATGGAATAAATCCTGCCTCTGTACTTTCCCCCCCTCTGCATGGTAATAGCTATTCTTTCCAGCTTTATTGAGGCATAATTTTTTTTAAATATATTTTATTGATTTTGTACAGAGAGAAAGGGAGAGAGATAGTTAGAAACATCGATGAGAGAGAGTCATCGATCAGCTCCCTCTTGCACACCCCTATGGGGATATGCCCGCAACCAAGGTACATGCCCTTGACCGGAATCGAACCCGGGACCCTTCAGTCCCCAAGCCGACGCTCTATCCATTGAGCCAAACCGGACTCAGCATTGAGGCATAATTTGTATGCAATAAAATTTACTTATTTTTTGCATGTAGTTTGAATGAGTGTTGGTAATTTTATACAATCATATAACAACCACAGTCCAGGTAAAGAAGTCCCATGTTCCTAAAAAGCGCTGTTGTGGCCCTTTGTAGATGATCCTGGCTCTCGTCCCAGGCAGGCACCACTGTGATTTTTAATACCGCTTAGAGTAGGTGTTAAGTCGATGTGTTTTCACAAAATGAAAAGGGAGAAAGAGCCACAAAGTAAGTCAAGTAACAGAAAAACCCAGGGAGAAAGAGAGCCCTGGGTAGGCCCGCCTGGCGTGGTAGGCGTGTAGGCAGAGCTGCGTGTTGCTGGCCAGCAGTGGTGTTAGGTGCTGCTGTCTGTTGGGCAGTGACTCTCAGTCGAGATGGAAGATGGAAATCCCTGGCAGCTTTTAAAAACTGCTCATCACAACCACCTCCTAAGATTTTGACATCTTTGTCTATGGGAGGGACCTTTGAAATCATACCCCCTAGATGTGTGGGGGGACAAGTTTGGGAAGCATTGTATAGAAATAAGAAAATAAGCTATCAGCTACAGTCTACTGTTTAATCTATTGACTCATTCAACAAGTCATTGAGAACTGTGTTGGAGACTGTCAAGGCACTGGATATGCATTTCTTCTCAAAATACATTCAGATTTGAAGACTAGCTAGTGTGTTGCTTCATGAAATCAAGAGCTTAGGTAATTTGGAAAAATACTAAATTAAATGGGAACATTTTGGCCATATGTAGCTACTTTATAAAAATGTTTCATTTTGATATTTCCAGTGTGAAAAGCCCAGTACAGCAAACCATATTAAAATTTTTTGTTACTTATTTCCTCTACAAAGACCTCTCAAACCCTGGCCAGGATGGCTCATTTGGTTAAGTGTCATCCTGTGCACTGAAAGATTGCTGGTTTGATTCCTGATCAGGGCATATGTCTAGTTTACGGGTTCTGTCCCTGGTTGGGGTACTGTAGGGGAGGCAACCAATCGATGTTTCTCTCTCTAACTCTCTCTCTAAGAAATAAAAAACATTTTTAAAAGGGACTTAAAAGATCTCAAATACCTGTCATTTTATATATCCTCTTCATATTTGTAATGAATATTAACAGCTAGTAGTGCCTGACTTAATCCTAATATGCAAATGGTCACTACACACTCATGCCCTCACACTGCCATGGCTCAAACACTCAACACTGGGGAGAGAGGAATGGGGACCAGCCCAGGAGAGGGACAAGCTGCCCGCACCATGGTCCCTAGTGCCAGCAGCTGGAGCTGCAGCCCTGGAAAGGGACAAAGCTGCCCACCCCGTGGTCCCAGGCTCCAGCGGCTGCACTTGCACCTGGGGCCTGGGAGAGGGACAAACCATCCACCCCGCGATCCTGGGCGCCTGCAGTCCAGGTGAAGCTGCCCGCCTACAGACCCCTGTGGCTGCTGCCGGCCCAGGTCCTGGGTGCTTTACCAGCTGGAGGAGGGAATCCTGGGTTCTGGGTGTGGGGCAAGTCAGAGGTGGTTAGGGGTGATCAGGCCAGCAGGGGAGCAATTAGGAGCTATCAGGCCAGTAGGGGAGCAGTTAGAGGGGAGCAGTTAGGGGCGATCAGGCAGGCAAGCAGAAGTGGTTAGGGATGATCAGGCAGGCAGGCAGAGGGGTTAGGGGCAATCAGGCAGGTAGGCAGCCGAGCAGTTAGTAGCCAGCAGTCCCAGATTGCTAGAGGCAGACATCCCCCAAGGGGTCCCAGATTGGAGAGGGTGCAGGCAGGCTGAGGGACATCCCCCATGCATGAATTTCATGTACTGGGCCTCTAGTATACACATATGAATTTATATTATTTTTAATATAATCTGTTGTGTAAGATTCCATCATTATTAATGTCTTTGATTCATTAATGTTTATTTAAAATTAAAATCGCTGACTGTAGGAAGTGGCTCTAGAGTTAAGCCTCAGATTGACTTGTGGCAGAGCCACAAGCAAGTCCCAGCTTACAGGGCAAAGCCCTCTTACCATAATTAAACTTGACCTTATGGCTGCCCCTAGATCCTTCCTAGGTAGCTAATGGGCTGTGGGAGATGCAGCAAGTGCTGCCAAAATAAGTGAAACTCACAAGAACATTGTAACTATGTTGACCACCACCTTGTTTTTCTCTGACTATAAAATAAAGCCTCAGCTTGGATTCTTCTCTGTGGCCTCATCCAGGCACAGGAGAGCTATGGAGCCCCAGCTATATTCTCTTTGTCTGTCTTTTCTTTAACCCTTCACTGCCCCTCCTCAGGCTCACCGAACCCTTGGCTGTGCTGGCATGGCACAGCTGACTTTGTATAGTTGTTTATTTACCTTTTTTATAGCAATTCAAGCATTGTTTAAACTGAATTTTTAATCTCTTTTAAAGCAAGGGGAAGAACAAGGTAGAAAATGTAGCCACCCTGATTTAGAAAGCACTAATAAAAATTCAGTGGCAAGTACACTGAGGAGAGGAAACAGAGAAGAGAAAGGTAAGTTATTCAATTTCTGATCATTGTGTAAGTGAGGGGCTGGGAAATATAGAAGGGGGACCAGTTTTTGCATTACTAGATAATGGGTGTCATAAACAAGTGGACACATGCAGATTTTTGTTTGCTAATCGAGTAATTTATTTCAGAAGTGTCTTATTTATCCATAAAAAAAGAGAAGATAGGCCAAAACCGGTTTGGCTCAGTGGATAGAGCGTCGGTCTGCGGACTGAAAGGTCAAGGGCATGTACATTGGTTGCAGGCACATCCCCAGTTCCCAGTGGGGGGCTGTGCAGGAGGCAGCTGGTCGATGTTTCTCTCTCATCGATGTTTCTAGCTCTCTATCCTCTCCTTTCCTCTCTGTAAAAAATCAATAAAATATATTTAGAGAGAGAGAGAGAGGATAGTATTTATTTTTTTATTTTTTAAAAATATTTTTATTGATTTCCTAGAGGAAGAGAGAAAGGAACATTAATGATGTGAGAGAATCATTGATTGGCTACCTCCTGCATGCCCCCCACTGGGAACCGAGCCCTGGGCATGTGCCCTTGACTGGAATCAAACCTGGGACCCTCTGGTCCACAGGCCGATGCTCTATCCACTGAGCCAAACTGGTCAGGGTGAGGATAGTATTTATTAACTAGAGGCCCAATGCACAAGATTCATGCAGTTGGAAGAAGGGGGATTCTTCAGCCCAGCCTGCACCCTCTCGAAGTCCAGGAGCTCTCAGGGGATGTTTAACTCCTGGACATGTTTAGCGCTGCCACAGAGGCGGGAGAAGCACCTGCCCCCACCACTGTGCTCACCAGCCATGAGCTGGCTTCTGGCTAAGCGGCACTCCCCCTGTGGGAGCGCACTGACCACCAGGGGCAGCTCCTGCATTGAACGTCTGCCCCCTGCTGGTCAGTGTGCATCATAGTGAAGTCATTGCACTGTTCAATAGATTTGCATATTAGTTGTTTTTTTTATTATATAGGCTAATAATTAGAAAAACTAATATTTGTTATGCTCTCCACCATTAAAAACATGGCATTCATTGTATATCTAAGTCCTGTCAGGGCTTCATTCTTGTATAAAGTATAATATGTAAATACTAGTGGCCCAGGGCATGAAATCCGTGCACGGAGAAGAGTGTCCCTCAGCCTGGTCTGCATCCTCTTCAATCTGGGACCCTTTGAGTGATGTCCAGCTGCTGGACTTAAACCGGCAATCAGACATCCCTCTTGCAATTTGGGACAGCTGGCTCTTAACTGCTCATCTGCCTGCCTGTCTGATCACCCCTAACCACTCTGCCAGCTGGCCTGCTCACCACCAACTGCTCCCCCTGCCAGCCTGCTCACCCCCACCTGCCTTCTCTGCCAGCCTGATTGCCCCCAACTTATCCCCACTGATGGCCTGCTTGCCTCCAACTGCCTCCCTCCCGCTGGCCTGCTCACCCCCAACTGCCCCCTCCCCACCGGCCTGTTCAACCCCCTCGCACCCCCCCCCCCTAACACACACTGGCCTGATCACCCACAACTGCCTCCCCATCTCTACCTCAGCCCCGCCACCATGGCTTTGTCCAGAAGAACATCCAGAAGGCTTCCTGGAAGGTCTCCCAGCCTAATCAGCATATTACCCTTTTATTGGTATAGATTAGTATAGATAGAGACCTGGTGCATGGGTGGGGCCAGCTGGTTTGTCTTGAAGGGTGTCCTGGATCAGGGTGGGGATTCCCTTGAGGGGCGGGCAGCCTGGGTGAGGGGCTGAGGTCTGTTTTCAGGCTGGCCACACTCCCTTCAGGGTTGATGTCCCTGCTTGGGTGCCTGGCCAGCCTGGGTGAGGGGCTGATGGCTGTTGGTAGACTGGCCATGCCCCCCCCAGTAGTTACCCTCACCCCATGGGGGGGTGGCCAGTCTAGGTAAGGGGCTGAAGGCCATTTTCAGGGCTCCCTCCTCCCCAGAAGCTGGCCCGGGCGACATTGACCCAAGCCGCCTGCGTGCCCAGGTCAGCTCCCTGGCCGCCACACACAGGCCCCTCTTTCAGAGGCCAGGGCAGGTGTTGGAGACCCAAGCCTTCCAAGTACCCTGGCCTAATCCGTGTCTGCTGCCCACAGGCCCCTCCTCCAGTGGCAACCAGGGCAGGTGTGGGTAACCCAAGCCTTCCACGTGCCCGGGCCAGCTCCATGGCTGCTGCCCATAGGCCCCTCCTTTCGAGGACAGCCCAGGTGGGTGGGAAGTTTGACTTTCTCCATTGCCAGAGGCAACCCTGGCTGCTGGCTGGCTCCGTGGCTGCTACCGTATTTGTTCTACTTATTTGCATACCCACTCCTGGTTGGCTGGTGGATGTTGCAAAGTGACAGTCAATTTACATATTTATTTTTGTGTTTGTGTGTGTGTGTGTGTGTGTGTGTGTGTGTTGTGTATGTATAATTTTTTAAAAATCACCTTAATGATTTGTTTTGTTTGTTTTTCATGTGGATTTTTTTCATTTCCTTTACTACTTAGACTTGGAGAACATGTTAGATCTGATCTTGAAAGAGAAAGAAATATTTATGTTTGTTGTTAGAGAAAGGCATGTCTAGAAATAGATAAATAAAAAGAATATGCTCAGCAGTCCTGTTTTACATTTTGGAACCAGATGATAAATCAGTCCACCCGAGGGAAGCCAGTTCACCAAATCCCCTCAGGCGACAGTGGGAGAAACGTGCATCCTCTACAGCGCTTGCAGCTTTGGAAAACGCATCCATACTCTCCTCCAGTTTGACCGCAGAGGATGATAGAGGTTAGTAGTCAGATTACTATTATTATGGAACGTTTTCTAATAGTTGTTTAATGGGCTAGATATTTTTTTAAAATGTCATTCTGTAAAGGTTATTTGGTGTCACTGGTGAGTGAAATAGATTTTAGTAGAAAATAAAATGTAATTAATTTTACTTGATATATGACCTAGAAGATAATATGCTGAAAATATTTTTTCTTTGATCCTAATTTTTATCTTTTCACAACTAGGTGGTTCTGTAATAAAGTACAGTGGAAATAATAGCCGTAAGCAGTGGCTCAAAGAGACTCCTGAGACCTTGTTGAACATCCTTAAGAATGCTGATCTCAGCTTGGCATTTCAAACATACACAATATATAGACCAGGTGATTTATGTCTGTTAAGTAATCATGGAAACCCTTTGGTGTTCTTTTTAATTGTGGTAAAATACACGTAACATAAATTTACCATTTTGGCCACTTTTAATTGTGCAGTTAGGGGCATTAAGCACATTGACATTGTTGTGCAGCCATCACCACCATCCACCACTAGAACTTTTCCCATCTTCCCGCCCATTAAACAATAACTCCCATTTTTACCTCCCAGAAACCCTTTTATTTTCAGGCTATAAAATCACATATAGCATTGTGGTTTTAGGTTTTCTTAAATCTTTTCTAGACAGTCTTAAACTATAATTAAAATTTTCTGTAGAGCTATATTACTCCTATTTACTCAGTTGTTTGCTTATTTGTGACTACTTTCTTTGCAAAGTAGCTCATTTTTTCTGTGAAAGTATACTGGTGACTTGACAGTTCAGACTTCATCACAATAAAAACTATAATCTAACAACCCAAAGGTAACTTTCAATGCTTCAACATAAGTTCTTATATTTGAGTGTTTAATTATATTCTGAATATTTTATTTTGAAGAAAGTAATATTTTTGCTGTTGTTAATCCTCATCCATGGATATTTTCCCATTGATTTTTATAGAGTGGGAGGAAGGGGCGGGGGGAGGGAGGAGAGAGAGAGAGAGAGAGCAAGAGCGAGAGTGAGAGCGAGAGAGAGAGAGAGAGAGAGAGAGAGAGAGATAAACATTGATGTGTAAGGGACACATTGATTGCTTGCCTCTCGACTGGGGCTAGGGATTAAATTTGCAATTCAGGTACATGGCCTTGACTGGGAATTGAATCCACTATGGTGAAAGTAGTATTTTTTTTTAAAATTTATTTATAGATATGAGAGAGAAAGAGAGAGAAATATTGATTTGTTATTCCACTCATTTATGCCTTCATTGGTTGATTCTTGAATGTGCCCTAAATGGGCACATGCTTGAACTCACAACCTTGGTGTAGTGGGACGATGCTCTAACCAACTGAGCTACCTAGCGAGGGCTAAGAAAGTAGTATTGTTAAAGTTAACATACATGCTGATGCTTACTGGGCCTGTTTTATGCCAGAAATCATGCTGGGTAGTGTGGGGAGGCACTGCAGAAGAAATATGGAGCATGGGATTGTCCTCAATTAGCCAGCAAGCTTTTGGAGGATTTTAGTCCAACATGAGGAAATGAGTAAATACTGTTTAAATCTGCATGATTTCTGTTAATATTCCTCTGCAGGTTCAGAAGGGTTCTGCTTGAAAGGTCCCCTGTCTGAAGAAGCAGAAGCATCAGACAGTGTTGACGGAGGTTACGATTCTGTCATTTTGGACCCAGAGAGACTCGAACCTGGACTGGATGAGGAGGACACGTACGTTGTGCTGGACATACAAAGCTTCGGTTGTGGGGTGTGAGTGTGTGTGTGTGTGTGTGTGTGTGTGTGTGTGTATGTGTGTGTGTGTGATTAACCTCAATAATCTCAGGTTGAACAGCTGGTTATATTATTTTACACCGTAAATAAATATTTATAACTTGATCTTTTGTTTGAGGTGGGTAATGCATAATGGTAATTACTAATTCCTGACTGAGCCAAATGTTTAAAATTGTTCAGCTTGGATTTATTTTTTTTTAAATATATTTTCTATTGAAAATATAGAAAGTGAAAGAAATGTTCTTTTGGAAGAACTAACCAATTTTTTTCTCTGTTCAGTTGCCTTGAAGCTCTTTTTTTTTTTTTTTTTTTTTTTTTTTTTTTTTTTTAATGTGGATATTGTTATGGTGTTGTTCTGCTTTGAACCCATCAACAAATACTTACCGTACCCCTATACTTACCGTACCCCTAACATGGAGGCTTAATATTCATGTCATTTTTTCACAGGGACTTTGAGGAGGAAGATAACTTTGATTGGGTGTCGGAACTGAAGCAGAGGGCTGGCTGGCAAGGAGTGTCTGGTGACTGATGCCCAGGGAATGCTCCTTAGTCACACTGAACAGATGTGTAGAGTGAGGAATTAATGTTTGCATATTAGCTATTGGACTGTATATTTTCCCTTGGAAACAGAATGGCGTTGGAGCTGCTGTGGATATTTAAAATTGTTCTTGATTAGTTTAAAAATCTACAATTCTTGTATGTTTTTTAATGCAAAGGAGAAGATTTAGAATTATGGGTGTGAGCTTCAGGATTTGCAGTCAGATAGAACAGAAATTAGATGCTCATTATTTGTGTGTGTGTGGGAAATTACTTAACCTCTTTGGGCCTGAATTTCTTTAACTATAACATGAAGATAATAATGCTTATCTGATAAGGATGCTGACCATGGAGCATGAGAGCAACCCATAATATTTGGATTGTTATGATTTCTTTTTATTACTATGTAACTCTTTTTACATTTCCTAAAGATTTTAGGATCTAAATATATTAAATTATAACACAATAATGTGTGAAGTTTTTCAATAAGACTTACCTCTTGGTAGTGATCAGTGATCTTCCATGATCTTTACTACCAGCTGTCCTTAAATACAGCCCCTCACAGGATTCACAAAAGAGCCCAGTTCAGAGGCTCCACCCTGGGAAGAGTGGAAAGGGTTACATATCTTTTCAGAAGTTGCCAGTCCTGTACAGGAGAAAGGAATAGGGCCAACGGTGAGGAATCAATATGGAAAGTATCAGAAATTACTAATTGGAAGGAGCAGGATCACAACATATGGGTCACCATGACACACTACTGTGTTGGGTCCTGTCATTAAATCCATGACCAATTAGCAGGCTAAGAGTATTTTACTAAAGCCTGGCTCGTTTGGCCCAGTAGATAGAGCATCAGCCTGTGGAGTGAAGGGTCCCTGGTTCGATTCCAGTCAAGGGCACAGTCATTGATTGGCTGATTCCCAGTTGGGGGCATGGAGGAATCAGCCAATCAATGATTATGATTCTCATCTTGGATGTTTCGATCTCTCCCTCTCCCTTCCTCTCTGAAATCAATGAAAATAAAAATAAAAAAAATAATATATATATATATATATATATATATATATATATATATATATATATATTATTTTTTTTAAAAGAATATTTTACTAAAGAAGAAATAGTCTCTTCCCTGAGGATTCCAAGTATAGGAACAGCATATGCCTGACTAGGTATAGGAAACAATGCTCAAGTGAAGAATAGGAGGAAATAGAATATATACATCTTTTGAAGATTTAAACATCTTTGCCCTGACCCATGTGGCTCAGTTGGTTGAGTGTCATCCCATGCACCGAGAGATCCTGATTTGATTCCCTGTCAGGACACTTGTCCGGGTTGTAGGCTTGATCCCAGTAGGACTAGGCTGATTGATGATCCCATGTAGGACTAGGGTGATTGATGTTTCCCTGTCTTCACTGTTTTTCTCCCTCTTCCTTTCTCTCTCTCTAAATCAATAAAAACATACTTTGTTTTTAAAAATTTAAACATGTTTTTATCTTACATACAAACACTGGTACAGATCTACACCCCTCACACAGTTTATTTATATTTCAACATTTAGTCAGCTTTAGTCTCCTCTGGTTTCTGACAGTCTCTCTGTCTTTCCTTATTTCTCAGGACCTTGAGATCTTTGAGGAAAACTGGGTAGGTATTTTGTAGAATGTTCCTCAGATTGGGTTCGTATGATTTTTTTTTTCACATTAAGATTGAGCTTAGGTGCCCGTCAGCAGATGATTGGATAAAAAAAAACTGTGGTACATCTACACAATGGAATACTATGCTGCCATAAAAAAGAAGGAATTCTCATCATTTGCAGCAACCTGGATGGAATTGGAGAACATCATGCTGAGTAAAATAAGCCAATCAATGAAAGAGAAATACCACATGACCTCACTCATTTGTGGATGATAAAGAACATTATAAATTGATGAACCAAGAGACAGATATAGAGACAGTAAAGCAACAGGCAGACTGTCAAATTACAGTGGGGAGGGGAGGAAGATCCGGGGGAGATAATAGATCAACCGAAGGACTTGTGTACATGCATATAAGTACAACCAATGGACATAAAACTCTGGGGAGGGAGGGTGTGTATGGGAGGGAGGGAGGGGGGCAAAAAAAATCAATAAAATATATATTAAAAAATTAAAAAAAATAAAAATAAAAATAAAGCGGAAAAAAAAAGAAAAAGATTGAGCTTAAAGATTCGGGGGAAGGTCGAAACTGGTTTGGCTCAGTGGATAGAGTGTCAGCCTGTGGACTGAAAGGTCCCAGGTATGATTCTGGTCAAGGGTATGTACTTTGGTTGCGGTCACATCCCAGTAAGGGGGTGTGCAGGAGGCAGCTGGTCGATGATTCTCATCGATGTTTCTAGCTCTCTATCCCTCTCCCTTCCTTTCTGTAAAAAATCAATAAAATATAGTTTAAAAAATATTTGGGGAAGATTACCATACCTTAAAGTGCTTTTCCCATCACATCCTATCAGGGAGAATGTCATCTCAACATGATTTATTACTTCAGTTGTTAACCTTGATTACTTGGTTAAGGTAGTGACTGCCAGCTTCTCCACTGAAAAGTTAACTAATTTTCCATTTCCATGCTCTGTTCACTCTTTGCCAGTCACAACATCTAGCCCATATATTTTTTAATTTAATAGATCTTTATTGTTCAGCTTATTACAATTGTTTCTCATTTTTCCCCCATAATTCCTCTCCACCCAGTTCCCACCCCACCCTCTGCCCTTACCCCCCCCCCCCCCATCCACACTGTCCTTATCTATAGGTGTACAATTTTTAAAAATATATATTTTATTGATTTTTTTTTTTTACAGAGAGGAAGGGAGAGAGAGAGAGAGCTAGAAATGTTGATCAGACAGAAACATTGACCAGCTGCCTCTTGCACACCCCCTATCAGGGATGTGCCCGCAACCATGTGCCCGCAACCAACGTACATGCCCTTGACCGGAATCAAACCTGGGACCTTTCAGTCTGCAGACTGATGCTCTACCAGTGAGCCAAACTGGTTTTGGCATAGGTATACGATTTTTGTCCAGTCTCTTCACATACCCCCTCTTCCCACTCCTTCCCCCTGAGAATTATCAATCCACTCCCATTCTATGCCCTTGATTCTATTATATTCACCATTTATTCTGTTCCTCTGATTTTTAGTTCACTTGATTTTTAGATTCACTTGTTGATAGATGTGTATTTGTTGTTCATAATTTTTGTCTTTTTTCTTCTTCCTCTTCTTAAATAATACCTTTTAGCATTTCATATAATACTGGTTTGGTGGTGATTAACTCCTTTACCTTTTTCTTGTCTGTGAAGCTCTTTATCTGACCTTCAATTCTGAATGATAACTTTGCTTGTAGAGTAATTTTGGTTGAAGGTTCTTGCTATTTATCACTTTGAATATTTCTTGCCACTTTCATCTGGCCTGCATAGTTTCTGTTGAGAAATCAGCTGACAATTATATGGGTGCTCCCTTGTAGTTGTTTTTCTCTTGCTGCTTTTAATGTTTTCTCTTTGTCTTTTGTTCTTGGCATTTTAATTATGATGTGTCTTGGTGTGGTCATCTTTGGATTCCTTTTGTTTGGGGTTCTGTGTGCTTCCTGGACTTGTAAGTCTGTTTCTTTCACCAGGTGGGGGAAGTTTTTAGTCATTATTTCTTCAAATAGGTTTTCAGTATCTTGTTCTCTCTTTTCTTCTGGCACCCCTATAATTTGGATGTTGGTATGCTTGAAGCTGCTCTAGAGGCTCCTTACATTATCTTCAAATTTTTGGATTCTTTTTTCTTTTTTCTTTCCTCGTTGATATTTTTTGCTTCTTTTTATTTTAAATCTTTGACTTGATTCTTGCATTCCTTTAGTCTGCTGTTGGGTCTCTGTATAATATTTATTTCAGTCATTATATGTTTAATTTCTATTTGGTCCTTTTTCATGTCCTCGAGAGCCTCGTTAAATTTATCGACCTTTTCTAGGAAATTCCTGAGAAACCTTATGACCATGGTTTTGAACTCTATATCCAGCCTTTTGTTTTCTTCCATTTCTTTTATTTGTGATCTGTTTCTTTGTCATCGCATTTTTGTTTCGTCTCTGAGTTGGTAGGGTGACTTTGTGTGTTTGGTGTCCTATATGTTCCAGTGGGTCAGCCTCTCTGTTACCTGAGGTGGACACTCTTGGTGCACCCCTTTGTTGGCTGTGTGTACAGTCTTGTTGTAGTTAAGTCTTTTTAATATATATATATTATTGATTTTTTATAGAGAGGAAGGGAAAGGGTTAGAGAGTTAGAAACATTGATGAAAGAGAAACATTGATCAGCTGCCTCCTACACCTCCCCCCTCCCACTGAGGATGTGCCCACAACCAAGGCACATATCCTTGATCAGAATCGAACCTAGGACCCTTCAGTCTGCAGACCAATGCTTTATCCACTGAGCCAAATCGGTTTCGGCTGTAGTGAAATCTTAATTGTTGTTGGTGTCACTGGAAGGAATTGACCTCCAGGCCAATTGGCTGTGAGGGCTTGCTGTCTCTCTAATGGAAAAACTGCTGCGCTGGAGACACACTTATGGGGCAGGAGTCACTTCAGTAGGGCTTTGATGTTCATTGAGTCTGCCTCTTTTTTTTTTTTTTTTTTTTAATATATCTTATTGATTTTTTACAGAGAGGAAGAGAGAGGGATAGAGAGTTAGAAACATCAATGAGAGAGAAACATCAACCAGTTGCCTCCTGCACACCCCCTACCGGGGATGTGCCTGTAACCAATTTACATGCCATTGACTGGAATTGAACATGGGACCTTTCAGTCCGCAGATCAACGCTCTATCCACTGAGCCAAACCGGTTTCGACTGAGTCCTGCCTCTTGAATGTGTCACTTATGGATGTGAGTAGTTGAAATCTGGTGTTATCTCACACTGACCACTAGATACACTAGCTTCTGGATCTCCAATGGTCAGCTACTGTCTGAGGCCACCCAATAGGAACTACAGCTGTTG